GAATCTGGTTGGTTCTGTCAAGTAAAGATCTGCTCCGAATAATAGGGTTGTGATCCTAAAGCTAATGTGAGTTACTATCGAGTGTCACTTTTTTACTTGATGTGATCTGTCGGTTTGTATTGACAAAAAAGTCACGATATCTAATCAAAAACACCTTAGATGTGAAAAAGAGGTATGGTCAAAAAAGGATTCAGCGTGTAACTTAAGGAATGAAATCAAAAGTGGCGGCCAAACTGGTAGCTACACTTATAACATTAATAAGAATTTTACAGTAAATATTCATTAATTAGTTAGCTAGGCCGCGTATTTTGTTTGATGAATGAATGAATATTTACTGTAAAATTCTCATCAACGCTATAAGTGTAGCAACCAGTTTGACCGCCAATTTTGGTTTCATTCCTTTATGTCACACACTCAGTCCTTTTTGGGCCGCATTTTTTCCCCACCTAAGGTGTTTTTGAACAGAATGTTATATCTAGTAATGTGTGTACGAAACTACACAAGAATGCAGAGTTCAATAAGATAGAAGCAGGAAAGGTATCAGCCCACACTTTGTATACAAATATGTATGTGTATTTATTCTTTATTCATAAAAATATGGTAAGTAAGGTGGTAAGAATGACTCCTCTTCGATTTATGTCTGTCCGTATTCGAACCACAAAGTGGTTTTTGTGATTCAACAAACTTTCTGACGACTATACTAAATATCTAGTAACAAATCTTTAGATACGAACTACAAAAAAAGTAATTCATAATTTTACAGTATCTCTTCCTAATGTAACATTAGAAATAATATCTTATAATTAAATGGTTAAAAGACTTTAAACAGTGGGAATAGGCATCTCCATGAATAATATTTCGTTAATTCTAGTCGTAGGATTAAAATATTATTTTATTAAAAATTTTTAAAGCTTTATAATTAAAACAAAATCATAAAACTAAACCGTAGCAATTCTTTAAGGAGGGGTTTTTATTTGATAGCAAAAGATATAGAGATAACTCAGAAAGAAAATAAATTTTTAGGGGAACGTACATTTCTTTGAGATATGTGGAGAAATTTTGACGTCATTCAATAGAAGGACCTTAACTAAAATGAATATAGTATCTTTATGAATATTATAAATAAACGCAAAAAGACGTAAGTAATTTTTGTTTAATATCACAGTTTCTCATCACCTTTCTATTCTGAAAAATAACATTATTTACATCAGATCGGGAA